TTGCAAACTTTGGATTTAATGCGCCAAATTAAAAATAACTGCCTTATACATAGATAAGTGAATATACTCGACAAAAACCATTCCTAAGAGGTTCTCATACCTACATTATGGCTGCCAATATTATGTCGAGGTGATTTGACGGTTTGGTCATCAGCACGCTTAAGTAGGCGACCCCTTTATCGTCTAGGCTTTGTGGAATAAACTTCGGCTCATACACACGCGCAATTTATGCTTTTCCACACTGCTTTCGATTATTGCGTTTTCAGAGAAGGCTTACTATGTAAGAATTGTATTTACAATAATACACTCAATACAGTTGCTCCTTGTTTACGTAAAACTTGGGGAGACAACTCAATTGTAGATTAAGTACAGCAGGATTCGATGATAGCTTATAAATAATACAGTTTAAAAGATCTAGCAACGTAGTTATTGAATTACAGCTTCTTGCAAAAATAAAACCAATATGCGATAAAAGGGGAATAGTACTAGTTCTCTAAAAACAGTTTTACTACCTTACAACATACATATCTTGTAAGCTACACCCGAGATAAATAATTTAAAACTTTGAGAATAAAGGCGTATTTGGTGACAAATTACTAAGTGCTTTTTCATATGTGTCGAATAACCTGCAGATGAATTTTTTGTTTTATAAAAATAGGTGGGCTGTGTGAGTGCTGTCAGTCAACACGGTGAGTAGTCCGTATTATTATAAACGATTTTGTTTTACTATCTACATGTAGGTGTCAAATAGAGATGAACGTGAAGGTTTGGCTATGGATCAGTGGGGCTGGCATGATTTGAAGTTTCTGTAAAGTTTGCGTTTGGCTGGTCAGATATGACCGATTTAATCAAACACTGATGCAGAGTGCGTTTTTTGCCTAAATGTTGCTTTTTGTTTTTAGCTGGCCCTGGGGATAATCAGTGTTTTCTTACTGTTACTAGAAAAGACTGCTCTTACTGGCTACCAGTTTTTGCTTTGTGGCCAAGAATATGCCTGCTGGACAGGACGAAAAGCCACCAAACTTAGTCTTTCTGCTACAAGTACAAAAAAATGCAACAGAAGAACTTGTCCGATGATCCAGCCATGACGCAATATAATTCATTACACTTTATTTTGCTCCCTAGCGCTTCACGGAATTCGAAAATGTGAATCATTTGTTAGCGGGGCGGTTGAATGCGAAGCCGCGCTTCTTGCACACCACGTAATGGAGCCTCCATCCCTCTAGTTCACTTGACAAGAAGATGCTGGCTTCGATGAAAGATGAGAATGGCCAAATGTGCGCAATTCCTGATAAAATAAGAAATAAATTCCAGCTTTGTTGTGGGGACAAACCCATTTTGGTGCGCTTTCTATTTATCTTCTTGTAGAGTGGCAAAAACCATCTTACCCATGTTTTCGGAAATGTAGATTATTGCCTTAAAACCTCAATTGTGTTTTAGAATATGCAAGTTTTTCTTTTCTCTAGGTAACTCTAATCGCTCCAAAAACAGGTCGTCAATGTTGTAACCAATATAGCTGTTCTGGAGGCAAGACGAAAAGTTATTCCTTTTAAAGACCTAATTTCCTTACTTATGGAAAAGAATCTTGCCTCCCGCTTCGTTGTTGCAATCAATAAGAAGAATTCACCTCTGCTACTCTGAAAACTGCCAAATTATGCGACATCATTCTAAAAAGTTACTGTTGTGGGTCGTTTTTCATGTTGTAACAGATGAGGGCACAAATCAGAACTTAAAGTGCAAATTGGACGCCTAAAATGAAGGACTGACGACGTGCAATCAGCTGCTCTTTGTAATGGAGCCAATACTCCAGCCGGTACTGAAAATATTAGATGTCAAGAAAAGCTTCCATGCTAAGAATGCAGGACAACGAAACAATGTCAAGAATGCTCAGCACAGCTGGATCAGCTATCCTTTGAGCGACTTATACCGCTGGATAAATTTAAATGACATGATTTCAGCTGAGCTGTGACATTTGGAGGAGCGCGATGAGTAGATCATTTGAGAGCACCTTTGACGGCTTGAGACTATAGTAACGTTTATTTTTGTAATTTGCCGTCTTCAGAAGCCATTTAAATATCTAATTGACCTACATATGCTGCAGGATTGGGTTGTCTGCCCTCTTGAGTGGCATCCGGCACGAAAATATAGGCCCTCCAATTTGGTCTTTTCCCACACTTGAGAATATGGTACCCTTTGAGGAAGTGATTTAGGTCGGTCACAATGACTCCTAGAGCATAATGGGCGTGTCTACTGATACTGTCTACTGACATTTTAAATTTCTAGCAGTCGTGATTGCGGTTGATATGCACCAGTGTGTTTAGGCGACTTTCATATAATTCGATGGCGGTTCGAAAGAACTTTTTCCTTCATACATAGGCATCAATACTAAGGATCAAATATGTCAAAGAAACACTCAACAGAAAACCTTAGACGTTATGTTACATATGGCAAACTAATGATGCTGATTTAGGCAAAACAGAAGGACTATTTTGTCCCTTGCGACGCTGTGATGGGCTTTACTCTGCCTTAGATAATCAAACTTTTCCGGCCATCTGTCAACACAGACCTGCGTAGTTTAAAATCAGCAAGTTTTTTAGCAACCACTGCTGT